TAATTGATATTGAGCTATTCAGGTTACTTTTTCTTTTTAAAAAAATCTATTCTTGAATGAGCTTGAATGAGTCAAGGGATTTGTCTATTCTAATTAGATTGTCAAATTTATAGGCATAAAGTTATTTATAATATTCCCTTATCTTTTTCATATCAGAATCTATACTTATATCACCGCTCTCATTCCTGATGATGGTAGTGTGTCTTTCCTCTTTTCCCCCCTTGATAATCTGTCTAGAGGTGTCTCAATTTTGTTGATATTCTCAAAGAAACATAAAAATTGGTTTACTGATTTTCTCTAATACCTTTGTTTTCTATTTCATTGATGTCTGCTCTGATCTTGCTTCCTTCCTTATGCTTGCTTTGCGTTTGCTCCTCTATCCCTAATTTCTTAAGGTAGGAGCTGAAGTCATTGATATGAGACCTTTCTTTCTTTTTTCCCTAAGATGGTATTTAGTGCTATAAAATTCCCCTAAGTACTGCTTTAGTGACATTCCAAAGTTTTTGATACACTGTTTTCATCTCCATTCAGCTCAAAATATTTTCTAGTTTCCATTTGGATTTCTTTTGTGACCCATGGGTTTTTAGAAGTGTGTTATTTCATTTTCATATTTGGGGATCTTCCAGAGATCTGTTAGTGATTTGTCATTTAATTCTATTGTGGTTGCAGAATGTACTTTGTAGGATTTCAATCCTTTTACTTTTATTGAGATTTCTTTTATGGCCCAGAATATGGTCTATCTTGGTAAATTTCTCTGTGTTCTTGAAAGGAACATGTGTTCTGCTGATGTTTGGTTGAGTGTTCTTTAAATGTCAACTAGGTCGAATTGGTTGATAGTGTTAAGTCTTCTACATCCTTAATTATTTTCTGTGTACTTATTCTATCAATTAGTGAGAACTGAAATATCTGACTGTAATTGCAGATTTATCAATTTTTCTTGCAGTTCTGTGTTATTAAGTAAAAAAAAATTAGGATTATTATTTCCTCTTAAAGAACTGGCTTCTTTATAATTATGAAATGACTTTCTTTATCCCTGGTAATATTCCTTCATCTGAAATCTCTTTTCTCTGATATTACTATAGCCATTTCAGTTTTCTTTTAATTAGTGTTAGCATGGAGTAGTTTTCCATTCTTTTACTTTGAACCTATTTGTGTCTTTATATTTTACTGTGTATCTTGTAGGCATCATATAATTGTAGTTGGGTGTTGCTTACTTTATCCAATCTGACAGTGTCTGCCTTTTAGTAGGAGCTGTTAGACTACAACTGATCCTTAGGGGCGCCAACCCCCCTGCAGTTGAAAATCCACGTATAACTTTTGACTTCCCCCAAACTTAACTAATACTCTACTGCTGACCAGAAGCCTTACTGATAACATAAAAAGTTCATTAACACATATATTGTATTATATACCATATTTTTACAACAAAGCAAGCTAGAGAAAAGAAAATGTTATGAAGAAAATCATAAGGAAGAGAAACTACATTTACAGAATTGTACTGTATTCATCAAAAAAAAAATCTGTGTATAAGGGGCCCTGTACAGTTGAAATCTGTGTTGTTCAAGGGTCAACTGTACTTATATTTTATGATTATTGATATGGTTAGATTTAAGTCTGTCATCTTGTTATTTGCTTTCTATTTGCTCCATCTATTCTCCGGTCCCGTTTCCTCTTTTCCTTTCTTCGTTTAAATTAACTGAGTATACTCTGATTCTATTTTATCTTCTTTGTATGCTTATTAGCTGTATCTTTTTTTTTTTAGTGGCTGTATTAGGATTTAATTTATATACATATATAAAATCTTTAACTTGTCACAATCTACCTTTAGGTGATATTATACTACTTCATGTATAAGAATCTTACAATAGTCTTCATACTACTTCATGTATAAGAATCTTACAATAGTCTTCTTCCATTTTTCCCCTTCTTGTCTTTATATTGTCATATGTTTTATGTCTTATATACTTATCATATATTTTCTACATGTTATAAACCCCACAATATATTCCTATTATTTTTGTTTAAACAGTCAATTATCTTTTAAAGAAGTTTAAATAATAAGAGAAAAACTTATGTAATTGCCCATGTGGTTATCAGTGCCCTTTGTGTAGATCCATATTTCCATTTGGCATCATTTCCTTCTGCCTGAAGGAATGGCTTTAGCATTCCAGTAGTGAAAGTCTGATGGTGAAATCTTTTAGCTTTTGTATAGATGAAAATGTCTTTTTTTTTTTTTTTTGGCCTTTGTTTCTGAAAGATATATTTTTGCTAGATATAGAATCCTAGGTTGACAGTTTTTTTTCTTTCAGTACTTTAAAGATGTTGTTGTTCCACTAAATTCCCTTTTGTTGAATTCAATAATGGGAAATCTGCCATCCTCTTTATTTTTGTTCTTCTGTGGCTGCTTCTAAGATTTTTTTATTATTGGTTTTGAGAAATTTTATTATCATATACCCTGGTGTTGTTTCCTTCACGTTTCTTGTGTTTGGAATTTGTTGAGCTACTTGATAAAATCTGTTTTCATCAAATTTGGAAAGTTTTCAGTTATTTCTTCAAATATTTTTTCCTGTTCTTCCTGTTTTTTCCTTCCAGGATTACAATTACAAGTATATCAAGATTCTTTTAAGTTACCCAACATCTCATTGATTTTCTTTTTAGAATTCCATTTTTTCCCCTCTGTATTTCATTTTAGATCATTTCCACTGTTCTATCTTTAAATTCACTAACCTTTTCTTCTGCAACATCTAATCTGTTAATCCTTTCCAGTGTATTTTTCCTCCCATGAATTGTAGTTTTCATTTCTTAATATTTGTTTTGAGCCCTTTTTATATTTTCCAGGTCTCTACTTCTGAACATATGGCACATAATTATAGTAACTGTTTTAATGTCGTCTGCTAATTCTAACATCTGTGTGAGTTCTGTTTCAGTTTCAATTGACTGATTTTTCTCATTATGGGTATGAGTACAGACTTTAAATTTTTTGCCACAGAACACCAAATTGCCCTCCAGAAATGTTTCATCATTTATCCGATCACTAACAATAAATGAGAGTGTCTGTTTCCTTCTCTATCCTGTCACCACCAAACTTTGTCAGTCTTTAATCTCTGCCAATTGCACAGGCTAAAGCTATCTGCTACTATAACAGGTATTTATTGAGCACTGGCTTCAAGCCTGGTGATGGATGGTGGCAATTCTGTGTTCAAGCAGCTGCAGTAGCTGCCCTCATGATGTTTATAACCTTGTGGTGTTGACCATGTTTTTATTTATATTTTCACTGATTATCAGTGACATTGAGCATCTTTTTTTTTTTAAAGATTTTACTTATTGACAGAGAGAGAAACAGAGGGAACACAGGCAGGGGGAGTGAGACAGGGGGAGAAGCAGGCTTCCCGCCAAGCAGAGAGCCCGATTCAATGTAGGCACCCCTACCTTGAGCATCTTTTCCCGAGTTTATTGGTCACTTATATTTCTCCTTTGGTATACTGCTACTAATGTTCACTGGATTGTTTGGATTTCTCATTCCTTTGTAAAAGCTATATATTTATTAAGGATAGATACCCACTTTCACCTTTTTTTTTTTTTAAAGACTTATTTGAGAGAGCATGCGTAGAAGTGAGGGGAGAAGCAGAGGGAGAGAGAGAGAATCCCAAGCAGACTTACCACCACTAAGCGAAGAGCCCTATGTGGGGCTTGATCCCATAACCCATGAGAACATGACCTGAGCCTAAATCAAGGGTCAGATGCTTAACCGACTGAGCCACCCAGGCCCCCTCACTTTCATCTTTCAAATAAAAAAAGTTTGTGGTACAAAGACATTTCCTTTAAAATAAACTAACATTTGTACATAATTTCTTTGAAGAAATTATTTGCATGTTACTCAAATACTCTTTCTCTACATTAAAAATAAATAGGGGGGCGCCTGGGTGGCTCAGTTGGTTAGGCGACTGCCTTCGGCTCAGGTCATGATCCTGGAGTCCCTGGACTGAGTCCCGCATCGGGCTCCCTGCTCGGCGGGGAGTCTGCTTCACCCTGACCCTCCCCTCTCTCATGTGCTCTCTCTCTCTCTCTCATTCTCTCTCTCTCAAATAAATGAATAAAATCTTTAAAGAATAAATAAATGCACAAACAATGAATCATGGAACACTACATCAAGAACTAATGATGTAATATATGGTGATTAACATAACAATAAAAAAATTAAAAAATAAAAAATAAATAGGAATTGGTTCTGGTTTAAAAACAATGCCCTTAAAGGCAAATATTTTTGAATACAAAAATATGAAATACATATATGAATACTTAAGGTATACATAAATATATAAATACTTTCATATATATCTGACATCAACATATGACTTATTCTTTAGAAATAATTATGCAGATTCCAAATGCCGTTTTAATAATGAAAGAGAAAGTCAAAGAGATGGAACGTTTCCAGATTAAATATTCCCAGCTGATTAAATATTTCTGGCAAAGCCACGCAATCTGTACTGGAAATGCCCTATATGCAAGATTGTTAATTTGTAATTGTCTAAGATCTAGTCAAAGGAGAAAATGTCCAAATTCCCATTATAGCATGTTCACTTACCCACTGAAGAGCAGCAAGAACTGTCATGCACATGCACAAGAGTAACAAGGCACATGCTACCTATTCATCTGGCTGTGCAGGTAAATGCTTCCTGCGAGCATCGGGAAGAATGCCCTGAGACACAGTTTCTAGAAAGTGCCCAGGGTCTTTTAACCTTCATGGGCAACATGTGGCAGGGGATGGTGGAGCCTGAGAAATCTTTGACTTTATGGCCAGGGATAGGACTTGTCCACATGTCACAGGGCTAAGGGGTGTTAGCTCTCCGAATATGATGGAGGAATGCATGCCACCAGTTACACTGTGAATTTGTAAACTGAGCAGTTTTAATAATGGTGATGATAACAACAGCCAGCAGAACCCCACGAGGCCCAATCCATCCATCTGTCCATTGCACCTGGCACCCCTGACTGACCTGTTTGATGTAGGTGGTCTCTGGCCACCTCAAACAAGCGCAGGTGCATGTTGGTGATGGGATTGAAGGAGCCACAGGCCAGGAGCACCACTGGGATTCGGCTCTTCATCTTGTCAGGCACATCCACACCCGCGGCAGTGGCCACCCTGCCTGCATGGGGACAAAAACTGATGTTAGAGAGTTGGCACAAGACAAAACAGTCCAGATCAGCATCCCTAAAGCATACAGAGGCTATTACTTCTCATTTGTAAGGTGACTGAGGGTGCAGTAATAACATTTATGGAGGGTTTACCATCAGCCAGGACCAGTGCTCAACACTATGTCACAGTATCCCCCTTGTCTCCTCAAATCCTTTCCACAACCCTGAGTGGTCACCTATCCAGCTCAGGGACCTCAGAAGCTGCACAACTGGAACCCAGAGAGCCTGATTCAGAGCCCATGTTCTTCTTGTAAGCTTTATACCCTCCCTGGGCTCTGATGGGTCACCTTGGAATCAAAAGGGCGTTAAGACCCCTATATGTCATCTCTTATAGTCCAAGTGAAACACACTAGGTCCCACAGTGGACCGGTACTTTTTAAAAAACTTATTTAAAAAATACTTTCAGATTTGCAAGTAGAGTTGCAAAATTTGAACAAAGAATTCCTATACCCACATTCCCCAAATGTTAACATCTTACCACATTTGCTTTAACACTCATTCTCTCTTTCTCTACACAACACACACAGGTTTGTACCTATATTTTTTTTTTCTAAAATGTTTAAGGGTAAGTTGTAGCGGTAATACCTCTTTACCTCTAAATACTTCAGTATGTTTCTAAGAACAAAGGCATTTTCTTGTATAACTGCACAGCAATGACTAAAATCAGGAAATTAAAATTGCTACAGGATAAGTAATCTACAGATCTTTTCTCTCTTTTTTTTAAAGATTTTATTTATTTATTTGACAGAGAGACAATGAGAGAGGGAACACAAGCAGGGGGAGAGGCAGAGGGAGAAGCAGGCTCCCCACTGAGCAGGGAGCCCGATGCGGGGCTCGATTCCAGGACCCTGGGATCATGACCTGAGCCGAAGGCAGACGCTTAACAACTGAGCCACCCAGGTGCCCCAGATCTTTTCTGTTTTTACCTATTGTCCTTTATTTAGGCCTGAAGCATTTTGAGGGTTCCGCCCACCCTCCTATCTCCACCATCTGGGGATTTCAGGGCCAGGGTGAGGTTAAAGGAAAGCACAACACAGCCTGGGCTCCAGGGCACACTGGCAGACATGGCTCTCCTGCCTCCAAGATGCTGCCTCCTGGAGTGTCCGGCTCCACTGGAGTTAGGCTTTGGTTTGACTACTAGTTTTACCTCCCACTGGCTGTGTGACGTAGGGCAAATCACAGTTCCTCTCTGAGCTGCAGTTTCCTCATATGCAAGATGGAGATAATATTACTTCCTCTTACTGGGTTGTTGAGAGGCTAAATGAGCTATGTATGAGCAGTCTGGTGTACAAGAAGCATTTAATGAATTGCTGTGGCTGTGATGATGATCATGCCAGTAATGAAATGCGTGCTGCAGCTGCTGACCAGGACAAGGGGGGAGGAGGAGGAGAGAGGAGGTGGTTCCCAGTGATCCTCACCTCCTAGTACTCACCTGCAGTCCCTCCACCTGAGTGAGGGCTGGGCCTAGTAACTCGCTTCTACTAAACAGAATACAGCAACAGAGTGGGATTTCACTTCAGAGAGGTTACCAAAAGTCTCTGGCTTCCCTCTTGCTCTCTCACTTTCTCACTCTGATGAAGCCAGCTGTCCTGTTGTGAGATGCCTCGTGAGGAGACCTCTGATGCCAAGAGCCCGTGAGGAATTAAATCCTGTCAGCAAGCACGTTAGTGAATGTGGAAGTGGGTCATTCCCCAGTCAAGTCTTCAGATAAGACTGCAGGCCCGTGAACATCTTGACTGCAGCCTTGTGAGAGACTCTAAGCCAGAAGACCCACTTAAGCTACTTCTATATTCCCGCCCCACCTGCTAAATTTTGGGTTAATTTGTTAAGTAGCAGAGGTAACTAATACAGTGACCAACAGGAAAAATGCATTTACTGCCTTCCTTTTGTTCTTGCTATGGTGGCTTTGGCTGTAATTCTGCAGTTGCCAGGGTAACATGGAGAGTTCTTGGTCACTGGAACCTGGAACTCTCTTTGTATCTAAGGAAACTATTGTAATCTGGCCTTTGTTGTCTGCTTCTCCAGATCCAATGCAGCTGCCTACTTACAGACTTTTTGTCATGCAAGAAACAAACACCCTCTATTTGTTGAGCCACTGAAGTTAGGCCGCTGGGACTTGTACCCAATTGCTGCAAATGCTGGGACTTACATCAAACCACTGCCTGCCTCAAACTTTAGCAACATTGGAGTTCTTGTCTGTGGCTTCTTTGTGAGCTCCTCATGGCTTCTGGCTTCAAGCTTTTGTATATGTTATTTCAGTTTCCTCCAACACCCCCGGCATGCCCCAATCTGTTAAGATTTAACTCAGGTGATCACATTATTTGTGACTTCAATCACCATTTCTTGACTGAATCAGTTAGGGATGCCTTTGGCTACAAGTCCCAGAAGCCTAAAACTTTAGTGGCTTAAACACACAGAGGTTATTTGTTTCTCGCATGACAAGAAGTCTAAGGAGGCAGTTGGTAGGTCACTGGCTCATCAAGGACCTGCAAATCTCTCAGCTTTTCCCTCATGGTCACAAGATTGCTGCTGTGGCTACAGCCATCATGAATATGATCAGGGCAAGAAGGAGCAAATCGCTACACTAGACTGGTTGTCCCTCTTAAAAATAGAAGAGCTTTTTCAGAACCACCCTGTAGATTTTGCTTCTTATTGGCCAGAACTAGATCACATGGCCCCTCTAGCTGCCAGAGAGGCTGGAAAAGCAAGTATTTAGCTGTACAGCCTCCCCAGTGGGAAGCAGCAAGAAAAAGGGAGTTGGAAATAGGATTAGTGAATGCACAGCATCTGCCACAGAGTTGGGGATACAACTGCCACATAGCTGGCTGCCGGGCTGGCTTTTCTGACAGCTAGCTGGGGTCAGCTGATCTATGACCTACCTTCAGTAAAGCATAGACAACATTCTATTGGAAAAACCTGTTCTTGTGCCTTTCCCACCCACCAGACGATAAGCCCATTAAGGACAGGAGTGGTGTTTCCTTCATCTCTGGCTTCCAGGTTTAAGCACAGGGCCTGGCCCGAGTGGGGCTCAGTGAAGATTGAAAAGGGTGGCAGCTAGCTGCAGGGGGGACCTGTGTCCTGGCAGGGGGCAGGCCTAATGCACTTCCTAAGGTCGAGAAGTTGTTCTGGATGTATTCCGAGGTATAGCATGCAGATTAAAAAAAAAAACCTCTCAACCTAGGTGGGCTACGGTTTCTTCAAGCTTCCTTTAAGGCAGCAGGAATACCCCCGACTGCGAGAGAAGAAAGTGGTCTGCAAGCTACTGCTGCTAGCTTCTTCCCAGGGAGGCTGGATGGTTTAATGAGATATTATCTGCAGAGTGTGCTTAGCTACTCACAAGAGCAGCCTTGTGATGAGTGTATGTGAAGAGGCCGGCTGTTGTTTGCAACTATTAAGAAGCCTTTCAAAGTTCTATTTCGTTTTGACAAAATACAATTTTTTTTAAGAGCCATTAAGACATGTAACTGCAGCATCTCAGGTAACCTGGGGTTTTGATTCTTTTTTTCTAAAGTTCCCCAGAAACTGTAAATTAGATCTTTGTTTGAATGGTGGCATCAACAGCAATGAAGGGTGATGTTGGGGAGAAGCATAACTGACATTTAATGTGTCTGTCTTTTCGTTCCTTGCCAGGAGCCCACTGAGCCTGTCGCGGCCGCAGCTGGGACGGGAAGAGGCAGTGAGTGCCCGTTCCCAGGCTCAGGAGTGAGGCCGGTGCTCCTGCCTCACTTTTACACCCTAACTTGCCTCAACTAAACACCTCCCCCCGCAAGCCCAAACCCAGAGAAATACAGTGACAGCCGTAGAATGGACTCACTCCGGGGGCCACCGTGTGAACAAACCAGGCTCTGATTTGAGTGCAGGTCTCATCAGACACGAGGGCAGATGCATGCCATAAAAGTGACTCATCTGCCCTGCCATCTAGTCCTATCTAGTGAGACGAAGCAAGTGCGGGAGACTTTGGCTGTCGGGAAAGGCTTCTCTCATCAACAAGCATTTAATGGGGGGCCACAGAGCAATAATTGCTGCTGAAGGACTTAACAAGCTGAGAAGGAGGCATACGTGACCTTCTTGGAATTTCTCATTAAACTGGAGAGACAAGGCGAACAGATTCCACCTGGGGCCCCGGCCCCCTCTCCAGATATATACCGCCTCCCGCTTCACAGCCACCCCGACAGCACGTCACCCTGCTCTTCAAAAGGCAACGCGCTGCTTCCCTTCTCCCGGCTTCCGCAAATGCTGTTCCAGCTACCTGAAACACCCTCCTCACCCCCGCCTTCAAGGTTTTCTCCTTGGTGTTTACCCAATGCCCCCCTCCCCCACTGAGCTCCATGTACCCAGGACCCATTTTATCACTTTCTACTTCAGCCGCCACAGAGCTGCCACTGCTTCGCTCCCATGATGCTCTTCCCCAAGCAGAAGGTGAACTCCTACGGGGTGGTTTCTCATTCAGGCCAGTGCCCTCAGCTCCTGCACTGTGCCGAGCACACGGGTGCTCAGGAAATGTGGAGAATGAATGAGAGAATGAGTGACGGTCTCCGGCCGAGCATTGTCCTTTCCAGACGGCTACCTCATCTCTTCGCTTCTGTCCCAGTCATGGACTGGGCCTTCCACAGATATAAACTGACCTTTCTGGCTTCCAAGAGGCACTTCAGACTGAAATCAAACAAGAAATTCCTGCCCTGGTGCGCCATCATCCGTGGCAGGATGCCATCAGCAGGGAAATACCGACTTCCTACCCACTGACGCCGAGGGCATCCCTCTGCTCTGGAGAGCTGCCTGCTCTGACAGGCAGAGGCTCTGCAGATGCGAAAAAATTCGGGATCCTGACATGGGGAGGTTAGCCTGGATTATCCAGGTGGACCCAGTTTTATCGTGAGGGTCCAAAAAAGGAGGAGGAACGGGGGGTCAGATACGGAAAGATGGAAGGGCTCAAGTGACCATCAGGAGAGAA